CGTTCTTGGGTTTGTCGCTCCTGGTGGCCATGTTGCAGGTCTCTGGACCCTTTTGGGGTCCTCGTTGTGTCGCTTGGGGCACCCGTGGGGCTCGTTTGGGGAATCTTGGGGCGCTCTTGGGGCTCTTTGTGTTAGTCTGGGAGGTCTCTTGGGACCATCTTGGAGGCCACGGCTCAAAAAGGAGCGCGGCGTCAATTACGCCCCCCCTTCGGAACCCGAAAAGTCGCCTGTTGGGGCCCTCTTGGGCCGCTATTGGGGCACTCTTGGGCGCTCTTAGGCCCGTCTTGGGCTCTCTTGGGCCATCTTGGTGCCATCCTGAAGCCTCAAGAGCCCATTGAAAGCGCAAAGGCGAGAAGGCAAAAAACATTGATTTCCTTTAGGTGTTTGAAGGATTTGGGCCTCTAGGGGTCGTCCTTGGGAGGCTCCGTGGCCACTTGGGGCCGTCTTGGCGCGGTCTTGGAGCCTCGCGTGGGCTTGTTAGGAGCTATCTTGAGTCATCGAGGGCTATCTTGAGCGATCTTGGAGGGCACCTTGAGCTCTCTTGGGCAGTCTTGGCGCCATCTTTGGCCAAAACAGACGCTCCAACCACCCGGGGCCCCCGCCTCCAGGCCCAGGGGGAGGGGTAGGGGGAGGGGTGAAAACCCCCCCCGAAGGGGAAGAAGGGGGGTGGAACAGAACGGGCTCTCTAAACCACCTCCGTCCAGAGGGCTGGTGGGATACATCGACATACACATATACAAAATTCCTTCGCGAAATGAGCCAATTATATAGTGGCCTTCGGACCATCCTGCCACCATGCCTGGGTTGTGGGTCAGAGTTCTCATGGATGCTTCTTCGGGTCTCTTCTGAACGCCCTCGGTGGCCTCTTGAGAGCAGTTCGGGGGCCTCTTGGGAGCCTCGTGGAGGCCTCTTGGGAGCCTCTTGGGAGCCTCTTGGGGCCTCCTGGAGGCCTCTTGGGGACCTTTTGGGGGCCTCCTGGGGCTTCTGGAGGGCCCTCGGGGCCGAGGGCTCGAAATGCCCGTTCGGGTTCCCCACCCGGGCCCCCTCTTGGGACCGTCTTTGGGCCCTCTTGGGCCGTCTTGGGCGCCTCCTGGTCCGTCTCGGGGCCCTCTTGGGCCATCTTAGGGCACTCTTGGAGACCTCTGGGGCCGTCTTAGGGCGGTCTTGGGAGCTTCGTGGGCCGTCTTGGAGCATCGGAAAGACGAAATGACGACAAGGACAACTTCAAAAACCGAAGGGAAATCAATGATTAATAATTGTTGCTTCTTGGGACGCCTCTTGGAACACTCTTGGAGCGTCTTCGGGGCATCTTTGGCCGTGCTGAGGCCATCTTGGGCATATTGGGGCACTGGGGCCTTGTCGGAAGCATCTTCGGCTCTCTTGGGCGCTTTGGGAGCCCATGTTTGGCAGGCTGCGCTACAGGAGGAGGCGCGTGACACGCCCAGGGAATCCCAGAGAATCCCCAGAAATCCCGGGGAATCCCCGAAAGTCTTCAGGAATCTCCGGAAATTCCGGGGAATCTCCGGAAAACCATGTGAAACCAGCGGCTTGGGCCCTTAACCTTTGGAAGCCCTACAAGTATGAATTGTTCTGGGCTGATGCGCCTTGGGGCACTCCACAACGTGCTGCAGGCACGGTGGCGGATATGCGTGTGTGTATATATATATATACATATATATATGTATATATATATATACATCGGAGGTGAGGGGGTGAGATCGAAGTGGAACGGAGAGCCCCCTACCCGAAAATCGGTTTCGGTTTCGTGTTCGTGCGTGCCGTGCGTGCGGGCGAGGCGAGGCGAAGCTGCGTGGGCGGGCGAGAAGAAGTCTCCTCCGGCTGAGGCGCGGCCGGACCAAATGATTCCTCTCCGGGGGCCGGTGTCCCGCGGTGTCCCGCCGGTGTCCCGCCGGTGTCCCGCCTCCGGCTGAGGCGCGGCCGGACCAAATGATTCCTTTCCGGGGGCCAGTGGCCAGCGGTGTCCCGCCGGTGTCCCGCCGATGTCCCGTCGGTGTCCCGATGATGATGATGATGATGATGATGATGATGATGATGATGATGATGATGATGAGGAGGAGGAGGAGGAGGAGGAGGAGGAGGAGGAGGATGAGGATGATGATGATGTCGATGATGTTGATGATGATGATGATGACGGTGATGGTGGTGATGAAGATGGTGTCCCGATGCTGATGATGTTGACGATGTTGATGATGATGATGATGATAATGATGAGGATGATGATGATGGGGATGGTGGTGATGATGATGATGGTGTCCCGATGATGATGCTGATGATGATGATGTTGTTGATGATGATGGTGTCCCGATGATGATGATGATGTTGTTGTTGACCCTGATGATGGTGGTGATGAAATGATGATGAGAGGGTGATGACGGTGATCATGATGAATATAATGACGTTGAGGATGATGACGTTAATGATGATGCTGTTGATGATGATGGTGATTCTGATGGTGTCCCGATGATGATGCTGTTGCTGTTGATGATGATGATGACGATGATGGTGTCCTGGTGATGATGATGATGATGATGATGATGATGATGATGATGGTAAGAATGATGATGAGGTGATGGTGATGAGTTTGATAATGGTGGCCCGATGATGGTGGTGATGATGATTATGATGTTGATGATGATGGTGTCCCGATGATGATGATGATGATGATGATGATGATGATGACGACGGTGATGATTATGATTGTGACGATGATGATGGTGTCCCGATGGTGATGATGATGATGATGATGATGAGGTTGATGATGATGCTGCTGATGATGATGTGGTTGTCCCGATGATCGTGATGATGATGGTGATGCTGTTGTTCGTGATGATGATGAGATGATGATGATGATGATGGTGCCCCGATGATTATGATGATGATGTTGATGATGATGATGATGGTGACGATGATGATGTCCCTATGGTGATGATTGTGATGATGATGTTGATGATGATGGTGATGAGGTGATGGTGATGGTGTCCCGATGAGGATGGTGATGATGATGATGATGATGATGCTGGTTGCGTTGATTCCGATGGTGTTGATGATGATGATGATGATAATGATGATGATGACGCTGATTGTGAGATCGATTGTGATATCGGTAGTGGGATCGATAGTGAGACCGAATGTGAGATCGATTGTGAGATCGATAATGAGATCGATTGTAAGATCGGTAGCCAGGTCGACTGTGAGATCGATCGAACGAAGTAGATCGAGTGATATCGAGTGTGAGATCGATCGGGTGAGATCGATCGAGCGAGACCGATAATGAGATCGATAGTGAGATCGATAGTGAGACCGATCGAGTGAGACGTTGGTGCTTCCCCCCACGAACCTCCTTATCACCCGAAGGGTGGCCGTATAGGTATACATCTACACACCCTCCTCTGCGAAATGAACCAATGAACCTTTTGCGCGACGCAAGCATTGCAAAAGCAGGACGCGTCTGCCAATCATGGGATACGCATTGGAGATGGTGAACTTGCCAAAAGGCCCGTAAAACACCGCACATAGTTGAAAACGAGAATGTGCTGGAGGGTGCACGTCGGGACTTCTTCGAAGCGAAAGGATGTGGAGGAAGAGCCAGCCCGCGGGAAGGGCCCAGGCCTCGGGGGGGGAGGGGGGGGGCACGCCCCCGCTTGCCGCAAGAGCGCGCCGAGGAGGCCGAAGGCCCGATGAGGAGGGCCCGCAACGGGGCCCGCGGGGGGCGCGGGCGCGGAGGCGCCCCCAAAGGGGGGGGGGTGGGACGACGACGAGGACTACGACTTCTTGTGCTGGAGGGGCTACGACACCAGCCCCCCAGGTTGGGGGCCGACCGAGAGCGCGCAAACGGCGCGCCCTTCACCTCGTAGCATTTGAGCTGCTCTTGCCCAGTTTCCTGTTGTTCCACTCCGTCGCCATCTTGGACGTCCCAGGCTGGAGGCCCTTCTCGATGCGCGACAGGTTCTGTCTCCCAGTCTGCTTTGGGGTGCCTGCACACTCCTGCGCCAGGTCGCGCATGCTCTTTCTCCCGCGATGCAGCCGCACCGCTGGCAGTAGTGCAGGCGCAGCTCGTCGTGGTACGTGCCGAGGTGGCTCGCATGGATCTTCTGGTGGCCGACCTGCGCCCTGCTGGACGCCGCGCCGTGGGTGCTCGCCTTCGTCCGCTCAACGGGCACGCACTCCTCCATGAGCCACGCGGCCGCCTTGAGAATGGGCACTCGACCACCGCACCTGCTGCGCCCGTAGTGCGTGCCGTCCACGTCGTACGTGATCACGTGCTTCGTCTCCGCCAACTGCTTGCCCCCCCGCTTCCGCTGGACGTTGGCGTCTCTCCGCTCCTTCTGCGACGGCCCTGCCGACGGCTCCACCTCTATCGCGGCCTGGAGCGTCGCCAGCCCGCGGGACCGCACGAGGGCGGCGATCCCCTCGGCGAAGCCCAGCGTGCGCGCCTGCGTCCTGGCCACCTGCACCCGCTCGATGATGCCGTCGACGAAATCGTCGGCGAGGACGTTGCCGATGTAGTCGATGGGGTCCACGCCCGCGTCGACCGCGTCCTTCGCGCTCATGTGGCTCTCGATCTTCAAGAGGTCCAGCTCCTTCCCCTTGATCAGCTCGCGAACCTCGCACCAGAGCCCCACGTGCGTCCTGGGCAGTTTCCCACGCCGTAGTAGAGTCGGCCGTGTACCTGATCCTATGGTATCCGCTGGCGGCTGTGAGCAGCTCCTTCAGCGCTGCGAGCCCACCCCTGTTGACGCTCTGCCTCCATCCTGCCAGCGCAATCTGGCGCCTGCCACGAACATCGGCTCGTTCATCCCCGTCGTCTGCATGATGACCCAGCCCCATGCGATCCTCCTCAGCCTTGGGCCCACCGTGTGCTCGCCACCCGATGCGTCCCCCGCCGCGATCAACCACTCGCTGGAGCCAGGGCCGTCCTCGCTCGGGTGCGGACTGACCTCGCCGAAACGCTCGACCAAGGCGCTCTCGTGCTCGGGAAGCGGGCTGACCGTCGTCCACGACTTGGGCAAAATGCCTCTGAGCCACAGGCACGGCTGCACACTCTCCTGGCTGATGGCCCGCTCGACGAGGTGCTCCGACTTCTTGCAATCCTCGATGATCTCGTTGCACTTGCACTTCCACATGCGATGCAGCCATGACTCGGTCTCTTCACCGCATCGTGGGCACATCACGTCTTCGACCTCGATGCCCAGGTCAGTGACCCTCTGCCTCGGCCACACCCCTCCTGCGAAGAGGGCGAGCTGCGCCCCCACCTTGCCAAGCCCGCCCTTACCCTTGAACTTGCGGATCAGGGCTTTGGCCGAGCGCAAGTCCGCGCCGCCCTCCAGCCCTTTGCCCGCGTAATGATTGGCCGCTGATACCCACTGCCGCTTATCGATCGCGTCGCTGAGGGCCTGTCTTAGGTCGCTGGTGTCCAGGTCGCCATCCAAGCCCGTGGGGTCGCTGCCGCCGAACTCCTCGCCTGCGTCCGACACCCAGTGCCACGGGCCCTTTGGGCCCCAGTCGAGGTCCACCAGCGCGTTGACCATGGCCCTGGTGACGCCCGCGAACCCCTTCCAGCACTTCTTGGGCTCCGTCCCGGTGGCCATCTTCACCACTCCCGGCCAAATGAACTCAGCCTTCTTGCGCCCCCCGCCGTCGCTGATGACGCGCATCCAGGAGTCCAGCAACGCGAAGGCGGCGCCGAAAGCAGGGCCACCCTTCGCGATCTCCACATGCAGGAGCGCGGTGAGACACCGCCCTCGCAGCTTCGGGGCGATGACTCCAGCCAGCCTCCTCCTCCACATCGTGACGTTGCCCGGCGCCACCCCGAAAACCTCGCAGGAGTATGCCGCCCGAGGAAGCGACCCGCGCTGGACCAGCGCACGGGCCCCCCCTCGCTCGACGGCCGCTGCGCGCCATCTTCAAGCAGCGCGCGGCCTGTCGATGTGCGTGGGCTGTCCTTTTTGCGCGCTTGCCCTTGCCTCCTGCGATGCTGCGCCCCCTGTCGACCCCCAGGTCGGGCGCCTAGCTCTTGACCTTCACGGCGATGTTGCGCGAGTGCAGCCTCAGCGCAACCTCCTTCGCCACGTCCATGTCGCCCCCGATGAGCGCGGACCTCGTGGACAGCGTCAGCCGCGCCTTCTTGACGCCAGCTGCGAAGTCCACCCCCGCGTTGGACAGCTGTCTGACCACCTCGCGCCTGGAGCCCTCCACCCTGGTCGCGACGTCGCCCACCCACGACCGCGCGTAGACCCGCTCGTACTTCGCGCCGACCTTCTCGAGCACAGCGCACAGCGCCACTCTGCCGAAGTCGACGCCACCCCTGGCGCCCGCGCAGATGGACCCGTCGGGGGCGATGGGCTCCGCGTGCGCCGACTTCTCTCTGATGAGGCGCGCGCCCAGGTGGCCCAGCATCTCCAGGTGCAAAGTGCGAGCGGGGATGCCGAGACGAAGCCCCTCCTTCAGGATGAGGACGGGCTCCAACGTGTCGTAGAACTCCGCTAGGTCCCACAGGGCGGTGACGGCGTAGACCTGCATAGGCGCCCACTCCAGCACCTCGTCGGCAAACGACCGAACGAGAGCCTCCTTCAGAGCGCTGTTGCCCGCCACTGCTGCGCCCCACTTGCCCGCCATGTGCGTGGCCCACTCGTTGGTGTACTCGCTGCGCAATGTCGAACACAGCTTGACCACTTCGGGTAGTAATCCAATCGCGCGATCGCCACCCGCATCCTTCCTGAGCAGGCTGGCCAGCGTGACCATGAGCTGCCGCGGCCACGCGCCCATCCTCTCGATTTCCTCGATCAGCTTGCGCGGCTCCTCCCTGGCGCTCGGCGGCAGCCACTTGAAAGTCAGCGCGCCCATCTGCTCGATCCCCTTCGCCTTGCTCTTCGCCATCGACTCGATGGCGCTGTTCAGGTCCTCGATCTCTATGGCCTCCCAGCCCTCGTCGGCCGCGGCCTCCCTGGTGATCGCCAGCTTCTCGAGGATGGCCCCGCGGCTGAAGTGACTCGTCCACTTTTTCTGCCAATGCCTGCCCTTGGCGTCCATGTACTCGATCATGTTCGCGGCCGTGACTCCACTGTCCCTGACCTCGTTGTCGCACCTCGGCTTGTCCCTTGTCTTGCGGTGGAGCTTGCCACTGCCGGCTGCTTCCTGCTCCTGTAACCAGTTGGTGTGCGCCAGCAGCACGTCGCTCACCTCCGCGCGCTTGCCCTTCTTCGCCGTGGCCATTGCAGCAGCACCCAGACGCTGCAACTGGCCCACACGCATGTCGCCGATGTTGCGGAGGGCCCCCCTCCGTCTGCGCTTCTGCCTCGCTGTCATCTCGATGATGCCTCTTGTCGGGATCGCGCCGCCAAAGGCCTTGCACTCGCCAAGCAGCCTGGTGTCACGCGCCTTGCCCCTCTCACAACGCTGCAGCTCCAGCAAGTAAGACGCAAGGGTGCCCCACCACCTGATAGACTGATCGCTGTCCGCTGGCACATCTGCGCTGAGCTT